TTAAACAAAAACCTTGCCATTTCCTTTTTTACAGATCAAACAGTATAAGCTGATAATATTCCAATACTAGATTAAATTACGTTAATGCTTTACAAAGAGTAACAGATCTTCAGAAATCTGTTCAGTGTGCTCCAAAATGTCATTAAAAAAGTGTCACTGTAGCAGTTATAATTTGTGCAAATGAACACTAAATGAACGTTCGATTCCATCAAACTTTGACTTCACTTTCATCTTGTTCAACCATAATTCTGTGTGTTTACCAACATCACTTAAAAGTTTTCTGACATCTCACTTTCACGGCCCAACGTAAGCAAACAAAAAATGCAAAAATTTATTAAATTTACAAGTGGCAGGTAGCCTGGAAACAGGGAGGGCGGATGCAGGAGAGGAAGAGTCCTGGCAACTTGCAAGTTGGCAAACTGCAGGACAGAGCCGGGCCAAAAACCGAAAACTTTAAGTGGCACATGTGAAGCGATTTTTGGCAACTTGTGCAATTTGCAATAGCTGCAGGGGAAAGGGGGACTGTCTCAAATTGGGTTGCCGTTTCATACGAAGCTGTTCATTCAAAGTTCGGTTCTATGCGCACACACGCTCATACATATTTGGCAAACTTTGCCGGTCCCGGCCAAAGTATCTACGTATCCGTGTATCTGCAAGTTGCAATCTTGCTGCCAGGCAAAAGTTGCCAACCAGCCACTCATTTGATATTGAAAGTGAAAGAGCATATTTAAATACGTAAACTACGGCGGGTGGGGCATCCCACATCCCACATCCCATCCCATCCTATGCCATACCATTCAGTTTTACATGCTAGCTTAATTTGTGTTGACAACGTTGCCAGCCATAGAAGCGCGCTTTGTAAATTTTCAAGATTTGGGTTACAGATATTTACACGAGTGTGTGGACGGGCACACACACAGGACCTGAAAAGTGCCAGAGAGAAAAGATAACCCTGGTACATCTAGAGCTGCACTTTACCTCCACCATATATCAATCTCTCGGTCCGGTCCTCTCGCCACTTAGAGGTCATCGCAGCATCAAAGTTTGTTTGGCCACTCTTAATGGCCCAGTTCTCCTCTTTCGGATTTAGTACAGCAGTGCAGTTGTCCCCGAGCAATTGACTTTGAAGTCGACATACTTGAAGGGATTTCAATTAGGAAAAGTAAAGTATACCATAGGTGTTCTCGAAACAACAAGAATACGTACGTTAACACGGAAAAAAACTACCTTAGTCAGGAAAAGCGTTATGAACTAAGAAAAATTGGCTTTGAACGAGAGATTTATTATTTCTTCTTCATTTATTAACATTTTAAGCGGATGAAAAAGCATAATCAGTATTATTCGTAACTTATTTATACCTAAATTGGCAAGAAAATCTCCGTTTTATCTTTGGCGATTTATAAACTTTATGTCGGTCTTAAAGAGGTTTGAATACATCACATTGACCCTTTACCTACAGCAGTGTTTCTTTGTCTGTACAACCAAGTCGATTTCATTTAAAATTCCTAATGCCGCAGGGCAGCCGTTCTTAAGATCGCCCGTAAAACGCGTGCTCCGACTTTCAAAACCGGAGCAAACCACACAAACACAAGATTACTTTGCAAAGTTTTCCAACCTTTTGGCTAAGTACAAGCGACACGGTGCCGCCGCCCAGCCCCTCATTAATTTTTGAGCAGCTAGGCCGGCCCAAGAAGTTGGCAAACTTAAGATAAACGCCGAAAAGCCCTGGACCTGCTTGAAAGTCGCATCCCTCACTGGGTTAACTTGTCATCGCGGCGATCAATAATTCAGCAGCCGCTTCGTCGACAATAAATTCAATTAAAAGCGCCCAAAGGTGGGTGTTGTGCAATTGGCAAGTGACAAATGGCCGGCTAAGAGCAAAAACAGCCCGCTAATCCCTCTTTGATTGCTCAGCCCGGGCACGTAATTTCAATTTGAGCCTCGGACCCGTTGCTTTGTTTTTTCAACGCCCGGCAATGATTTCGGTACACAACGAGCCGGCAGTTGGTAATTTTATTTGCAGCTTTTTGCATTAAGTGCACACAATGTTTATTAATTATTCAGGGCCAGGACATGGAACAAGCCAGTGGCCCTGCTCCTGGATCCAGGGATCCACGGACCCACGTCGAGCTGCTCCTCGGGCAACCATTGCATAATTGAATATTATGATTGTTATTTTCACTTGCTGCCTGTCGGATTGCTGTTATCTTAGCGTTTACCCGTGGAGCTCTGCATACTTAATAACGTTTGCCGGACTCTCAGCCGGAATTTAAGGTGGAGCCCTAAGCCCCCGGGGCATGTTTGGCAAGCCGTTTAGGTCTTCTGGCCCGCTCACCTGTAATTGCTCTAATCCGAGCCGTTATGCCATCTCTTTGGCATCTTGGCACTTACAGCTGTCCAATAAAGTAAGCCCATGGGAGCGTTCTTCCCTAGCTACAAGAAAAGTATTCGTTGGGCTTGACTTATCCAAGAAGTATTTGTTCAGATTAAAAATTGAGCAAACAGACTGGGTCGAATGTTTTAAAGTGGCTGGGAGTGAGTTATTATTATAAAAATATTATGTTTTGCCCCATTTAAAAGCCGCTTTTCAGAGCAAGCTCGACCATTCCAGCACTCCACTCTCCTTCTGCGTTTGAGAGCATTCAAAAGTGTAGCCGAATTCGGCCGGCTTAATGTAATTACATGTTGCTTTGGTCCATTGCCCGAAGAGTTGCTTTGGCGGTTCCTCGCTCCTCGTTTGCCCAATGAAATTTGCATGTTTTTACCCACTTTCGGGCACTAGACAACTTTTCCTGCCAGCATTTACAGCTGCAACAGCTGAAAATAAATATTTAAACAATAACAGCAACTTTGCATGTTCTACAATTGTTGCAACAACAATGGGCAAGGAAACGGGGAGCGGACGCGGCGAAGTCCTGCAGTCCAAAATAATAAAGTTTTACGGCTGAAAATTACTCAATTCCCGTTGCCCGAAAAAGTTAACTTAATTTTTCGTAGTTGCCTTTTGTGCGAAAACTTTGCAAGAGGTGAGGCAACAACAAGAGGGGAAAACGTTTTACAACACTTTGGCTGAGGAGTGGTAGATGCTTTTTGGAGCTCGGGACTTCGCCCCATTGATTGCACGTCGCCGAGAGCTGTTGTCCTTTTTCCCCCGCCACTGCATTAAATGCGTTGGCATTCTTTGCGAACGGGCAGTGTTGGAAAGTGCCCTCGAAAGCAGGAGACGAAAAATAACAACCGAAAAAATAATTGATTTTCTGCGTTCATTCGCTAGCTGCAATTACTTGGGGAAGACAACTTTTCACTGTCCGCTCCCTTGTTTTCTTCCTTGTTATTGTTTTTCATTGGCTGGGCTCCCCTCCATAAATTGAGTCCTTTCCAGCGGCCTTTTTCCCTGTTATTATTGGTATTTCACGCAAAGATTGTCTGGGAAGCCGTATTATTTAAAACGAACTGAGCCAAAGCACTCCCCTTCCATTGCCGCTTCCCAACTGCGGGCAATTTAAAACTCATTTCTATTTGGCGCCCCGGGTGGACCGAGTGGAAATCATATTAAAAGTCGCACCAATGACCAAAGCACTGAACTTGGGGGCACGTCTACAGCCATCCACCTGGGCTCTGGGGTAAAATGCTTGCACACGGCTCACTGGCTGCAAATCAAAATAGAATTTAAATCTCTTTGAGAGCTCTGTGAATGGATTGCTGAATGGGTAACGGCCTCATGCAAAAATCATTTTTGGCTGTCAAATAAATTACACTTTTTCCTCGGGGACGAGGGGTGGGCAGGCCGAGCAGGGCTCGCCAAAATGGCGTTGAACGCATAATTTGGCAGGCAGACACAACCCTGCCGCACTTGCTTTAATTGATTTTACAGTTAGTCGGCCAGGTCCCTGCAAAAGGGGGTTTCTGGTTATAAATTTGCGAGTGTCGAACGGAGTTCTTCGATTTGTTTTTGTTTGTGTCTGCCTGCACGACCGCCCGCCCGCCCAACACTCATTTGCACTTAACACTTTCGACCATTTTGTTGGGCTCGCCATTGCGTCACAAGTTTATCTGGCAACCCTGCTCCTTCCCCACTCGATAAGTCTCTGTCTCAGGGCGATGATGAGGAAAATTGCAAAATTTCGAGCCTCTCGATAATTAAATATGCTGGGAAACAACAGAAGAGGTGGCCAATGGAGCAGGGGCTGGCACATGTGTCTAATTGGATTGTCGCAGTGTTGGCCAACAGCGTCGGGCTTTAGCATCTCACAGAGATAATCCCCTACTCTGGGCACACGGCCCACATAAGTTCCACAAAATTCGCTTTGGCGCAAACTTTTTAATGAAGTTTCGGCGTTCTTGGGCCAACTTTTCCTTTGGCCCCACGACATGTTGTCCTCTATTTATTTTGATTTTTCCCACTCCACAGCGAGCGTTTACTTTTCCAGAGGTGCAGATCGTCCTTGTGGGGCGTTTGGCTGTTGCTGGGCTTCTGTGGCAGTAAGTGGCACATTTGTCGGGTGATACGCTTTTAATTAGTGGCGATGGCAATGCTGATGGCAATGGCGGTGGCGGTAACGGTGGCCGTAAACTTTCCGCCCTGGCTTTAATTGCAGCTGATGCGAGGCGAAACAAACTTGGCATCGGAGTACAGTTGCGCCGGAATTGGCTTAGCATGTGTGAAGTGCGACGTAAGGGCTTACAGAAGTTTGCTTAGGGAATCTCGGTGCGAAAAGTTCCAGGGGCTGGCTAACGAGCCAATGCTGTGTTAACTGCGAGAGCAAAATCACTAAAGTTTTTAAGAGCGATTCAGCTGTACTAATCCTCCTCCCATCCTATTTCACCAACCCAATGACATGATATTTTAGGTCGTTAATGTTCTAAAGATGATGTACATTGATGTATAAGGATGTGAAAATTCTAAAAGCACATATCATAACTTCTCATATCTAAACACAATTGGGAATCATTTTTACCAATTCCTAGCTAAGCCCCCGTCTTCCCTCTTCCCCTTTCAGGCGCTCCCACAGTGACGGCCCTGAATGCCACGCCCATCGCCTATCCGGGATCGCCGCTGCACCTCAACGTGGAGTTCTGCGCCAATCCTCCGGCCCACGCCGCTCGTTGGTTGCACGGAGATCGGGTGTTCACGCCCGGAAACCAGTACGGCAGTACGGTGCTGGCCTACGCGGTGAAGGTGAGTGACGGCGCAGAGGTAGTCCACGACGGAAATGTAATCGATTCTCCCCATCCGCAGGATCTGCCCACGCCGTTCTGCAAGGAGGCGCGACTGACCTACGTCAGCATGCACGAACGGGTTCCGAGGACCTTCTACTTCGTGGTGTCCACGCCAGGTGGCGTTGCCGAGGCGGTTTTCAATGTCAACTTCACCAAGCGCCACCGACAGCTGTCGAACTCCATCGACGACGACGAGGAGGAGGAGCTGAACCAGCCGGAGCAGATCCACTTTCCCGTCTTCAATGGCAGTCCCGCCAACGGGCGTGGCTGGTGGGCGGTGGTCTCGGCCCTGGTCTTAGCCCCCATATTTAGAAACAGTCATTAGATTAGGCCGGATGGTGTGCGAAAGATAGTTGAGTGAATGATTTCTTTGGGAGTGACTGACGCGCGTTTATTACACCGATTGTTCTATGTAATCTAACCCCTATGGCTAAGCATACGTATGGATTTACCCAATTACTCGACATTACCACGTGGACTATGCTACACAACTACTACTCTATATAGCAATACATATGTGCATCTGTAACCGATTTAGCCAAGCATCAAAATTGCCGTAGGCTAAGACCCCAGGCCCATCAGTATCCTTACAACCACTCTTCTAGAAGCCTGGAAAGGATTCAACTCTTTATCCCTAAGCTCTTCGAATATTTTACTATAACCCCTAGCTGTAACGGTAACTTTAACCTTAACCTTATCGCTGTATGTCAATGTGTATGAGTGTGCGCTTAACTTAAATGCCAAAGCCAGATATCGTAAGGAAAAGTTTACAATTCTTTGGGAAAACATTGTTAAAAGTTGATTATTACGAATACTTTAAGTTCCTTTTCGATAAAGAAGAGAGATCGAGGAAGTGACTGATTTTGTTAAATATTTTGAAAATGTTTAGAACTAAAAGCACGAGGAGAAGAACCTATAGTTTAAAATGTATATGAAGAAGTGAAAGACGAAGTAATACTTACCAGGCACGAACAAATTCCTTCCATTTGAAAAGTTTGCCAAGAGCAAAGAAACTGTAAGATATTTTGGAAACGAAATTAAGCGAATGATCAAAAGAGTTTTAACCTAAACAAATTGGGTTCTATTAAGCATTAAATCGCACCTTTTCGTTTCTTATGATTTTCCAATCGTTTGAAAGGACCAAAAAAAATCGTTTCCATTTACTACGAATATTTTTTTAACACAAAGTAAGCATTCATAAGTATAGCCCCAAGAACAAATGAGAGACCCTCCACATAAGCGATAATTGTATATACATATATGTTCAAGTAGAGAATTGCTCAACCCAAAAGAGAAAACCTAAAATATACAAATACTATATAAAATGTGTTAAATGTTGTTTGAAAGCAAAAATAAATCGATTTAAATATCATACGTAGCAGTTCCACGAGTAAATTATACAGTATTGTATGTAACATAACAGACCACACGGCAACTTAAACGTTCGATTACCAGCTATTGTACATTATTTCAGTTCAAAGACCAGCAAAGAGCCAGCAAAGTCGATTGCTTGCCACCGAATTTTTTGTACAAAGCCCAAGCTTTTGTAATTTATTTCTTAGACGATCTAAGCTTCAGATTATTCTATATCCTATGCGCAATACATACAAATATATATCGATAGGCTAAGCGATCAGTGTAAAAACCAGAAGTACTTAGAAGAACCTAACGCCAATTTAGCAGCAGAAATTAAACTTGCAGAGTTCAAAGAATTCTGGCGAAGAGCATTGTAAAATGATAAGTTTAAATTGAGGTTACATTAATCATTAATGCGAATACGCGTATATAGAGGAGTATGCCCGCCAGCATACCTATATGTGTGTACCCTATGTATAGTTCAGTTTAGTGATTTAGTGATTTCGCTCCCTGGGTTTATTGTCAGCAAAAAATTGCGAATTGTAAGAACAAAGCAAGCAACAAACACGTCGTCATGTTAACTAACAAATAACTTACTAAACAAGTGAATGGTCACAGTGCGTACTGTATTTATGATTCATTGTGTTGGTAATATTTACAAAATATTATTTATAACGAAGCCAACAAACAACAAACAGACATATATAACTAAAGAAGTACTAGCTATAAGTGCAACACAACCCGAATGTGGCAAATTAATTTTAAACCAATGAGTAATTACGATACGAGAGACAGAATGTTCATCTGTAGTGCAAAATGTTTGGATAAGCGAGACGGGACACTAATAACCCATAAAATTACGAATACAAATACAAGTACGAAATACAACAATACGTGTTACAATAAGCAGAAACGGTTTACATATATAAGTCATAGGCCCAAGAGAAATGTAAGCAACCACCACCAACAACAACCACAAGGAAATCACTTTTAGCCGTAAACGAGGCCTCTGAGAGGGCCAGAATCTCCAGGATGGGAGTGGATGCAGCACCGAGCCGACAGCAGAATCAAAAACTACTCTTAAGCGACCCTGTTCACTGCCCAGCAATGCAATAACTCCGGGTTCTTGGCCAGGGTCAGGCCATCCGGCCAGCCAACTGCGTTTAAGCCAACATCGCAGGGCAAGTGGCCAGGTGAGGGGCGGGCATGGGGCAGGGGCAGGGGCAGGAAGGTCTGGTCGGGGCAGCCTGCCGAGGAAATTTACAAGTTTAAGTGACAAAGCAACAAAACAAAATAGCCAATTTAGCATAAAGTAAAACACAGGCCGAGAGAATGCAAATAAAAATGCAGATAAAAATGAAGGGCGAGGGGAGCGGCCAACAGAGAGCAAACAGAAACAAGCGAACACCACACACAACACAGAGAAATGAAAATGAACATGGAATAAAATTTAAACGCAGAGAAATGCAACAAAAATTAAATTTCTTTAACTGGGTGGTCGTGGTGGGGTCCCATCAAGGGCCGGGAAAGCGGGAAACCCAGCCAATCAATCAGCAACCGGGAACGCCCGTCATTAAGCTGCAATGAGGAAATCACTTTGGGAAAAACAACCAGCCGTCGACACTGCAGATACTCTTTTGTGGGCAATACATAAAAAGTTAGGTGGCAGCATTATTTTTTTATTTTTTAAATGGCCACAAACTTGCAGTTTCAAAGAGTAAGTATCTTTCGGCTAAAAGTAGGAGGTCTTTAAGTTTTGCGTTTGCGAAATGTGTCAACCAATGGATTGCCAGCTGCTTTAGTAAGCTATGCGATTTCTTTTTACTTGCAAATTAAAATGATTCATAAGTTGAATGATGAATATCGTTATAAGTTTGGTCATAATATTCCTATAACCCCTACAAAATTGTTCATCACTACTGGTTCTTGAATTTGGTTACAGGAATAAAGCTTTTTTACTTGTATGTATCTTTTTTTAACAGTGACAAATGGAACTTCAAGCAGGGGCGGATCCAAAATGTTGTTGTGGGGGGATACATAAAAACATTCGTTCAGTAGAAATAAAAAAATTGGAATAAAATACATATTACCATGCGCAGATCCAAGGGGTGGGGGTTATATGGGAGATCGACCCCACCCACTCGGCTAAAAGAATATATACTAATATATGTATTCCGAATTTCTTTGTTTCTACTCAACAATTTTTTGTATATCTCCCCCCACAACCAAATCCGCCACTGAATATGAGGGATAGATCCCCCCGTGGATACGCACGTGACTCCAAGAACACTTTCCATTCCGCGCACTTTGACCAAACATTTGTTCGGGGCGAATGGGAGTCCAAGTCCACGGAACAATTGGCAAGCTGAACCCAACCTGAATGGAATGCCAATCATTTTTGGCACTCTGCATTTCAGTGGCAGTTGCATCAATATCAATCAGGGGCCAACGAAAGGGAAAGGCCGGCCGAATGCAGCTTTTGGGTGACCGCAGGCTCGGCTCGGTTGTGTGAAGGAGATTCCGGTTTATGGTTTGGTTCGGTTTGGTGCATTGGCCCAATCCCAATCCCAATCGCAGGCCCACAGTTGCGTTGTCAACACTAGCAGCCGAGCAGCCAGGCAGCCAAAACAGCAGCAGCTCTTGTTTATTAGTTGGAAATCAAAAGTACATCGACACCGCAGGATTGCAGTGGCCGCACTGCGGACCTGGCTGCTACACTTTTTGGCCTAAAGAGTCGGGCAACCTGTTTGCCGACAGCACCGGCCGCGGCCTCATGTGCCCGCAGAAACCGTCGATAACCAGGCCGGTTTCTGGCGCTAATGACAGTGAAATGCCTTCGATCCGCGCGGCGCCAGCGAGATTACAGCGAGTGGGGGCGTACCGTACAGTGAGGATAATGGTTGCACTAACCGCTGGCCAATATGTTCAAATTCCCCGATGCAATGTACTTACAACAGTCGAGGGACTTAAAACTACTTCAATACTAATAAAAGAGTGAAGCATACTAAGTAGGAATATATTCTAAAAATATTTAGTTTTTTCAGTATTATAATATTTATCACTGCTTTTTAAGAGCATATCTTCAGTAGAAATCCGTGCTTTTACCCACTTCTTCGATTGCAATTCTTGCAGTGTAATCTATCAATCAAAATTCCCGAGCAGTGATCGAGTGGAATAAACTCGAAGTGTCGCAGGTTCAATGTTTGGTGATGGTGACTCTGTGGCTAATGTCGACGCACGCGCCACGGCGAAAGGTGCTCCCAGTAATGGTTAATGGGTAATGGTGAGCCCGGACCACCTCCAGCCCCCTTTACTGGACCAGCCTGCAGATATCCGCAATCGCCAATTGGCATTACTGTGCGCATTTTGCTTTAATTGTGGCCTGGCCAAAGTCAAGTACGAGCACCCGAAACCGGCTGCGAAAACTGGCAATTGGATCCCCCGCCCCTTTTTGGGGCAAGAGCCACTCATATTTCAATTTGCTTATGATAGGCGCCATCGTCGAGGAACCGAAGTCCACAGCCCGGCTCTGACCATATAATTGCGGGCTTAATGCAGTCGCAAAATGGGCGAGTCGACTGATAAGTTTATGTATGGACAGATGTACATTTGGCCTGATAAGTGGGTTTTGCCTGCGATTGTGTTTTCCATTCACATCGGAGCCATCGTGGCAGGAGAAATCTCCTAATTGGGCTTTGGGGGAAGTGGAGTTGCTCAATGGGGAGCAGAGCCAGCACTGCAGTCCCTGAGTTTTGGATTGAGGTGATTTAACTTTATGAGCTCAAGTTCCCAAGAAAGCCGTGAAATACACACCTTTCAGCCACCGATTATTCCCTTTGCTATTCACGCCGAGTTACCGCTGACGACTTTAAGCGCGCTTAAAACGCTGACAATTAAAATCGTTTTCATTGCACATCGTTGGGCGCCAATAATTCCCCCCAATACGCTTGCATGAAATTTCACAGTTCAATTAATGCATTTTAATTTTAACTTTATTTTCCAATTTACTTCACACAGTTAAAATGGACGCAAGGAACAACGCCAACAACGCGGGAAAAGCGTGGAAAAACGCGAAAGAAAAAAGCAGATCAGCCTGAAAATTGTTAACGCAAAATTAAAAATTGTTTTTGATTGATTGTTGCATGAAATTGGCTTTTGGTCTGGGCCCGCCGCACCGATTGGTCCCATTGATTGTAATTACCTTTTTTCCACTCTTATATTTCATTTGCCCTGCGCACTTAATTAGCCGACTGCCACGCCCCTGCCCGACGCCTTTTCCGGCTGACTGCGCTTTTTGGGAAGTACAATGAGTAAATATATGTGAGCAACGCCGGTCCGGCAGCGAAATTAAGCGAATTGCTTTTAATAGATTTTTCCGCAGTTTCTGCGATTTCCTTTACTGCTGTCCCATTTCACTGCGGTCAAGGCATCTCAGAGATTTCCCTTGCCAAGTTTTTGACGGTTTTGTAATGCTGCAGCGACAAGTTTTTCCAGGCGGAAGGAAGCCGACCGCAGGTGACTTCTGTTACACTTTTAACAAATGCTGATCCGGCGAAAATTAGCCAAGTTAGTTGCTGGTCTTGGCAATTTATGGCTCGCATTTCCTCGGACTCGGTTGGGATTTTCGGATTTCTTCGGCCAGGCCCGCCTCGCTTATGCAATCTCTCCCCTGGCTTTTCATCATAATTGTCTCTGAGGTTTGGTGCGACTGGTGCGGAAAACGCCGGAGGAAATGCCAACCGAAAAAGCGATCTCGGTCCCATTTTTAGTTTCCATTTTCCCATTCCAGCGACATTGGTGAAAGTCAGATGTGTGTGCATGAGGCATGCAACATGTCTTTAATGAGATGCAAGCAGATAAAGAAGCTAACCGATTATGGGAGGCATAAATCACACCTAAATGCCCGCTGGATCTGTATCTGTGGGTAATAGGGGTGTTAGCTGTGGTAGAACGCCCGCTTTCCCCATTTTTGCATTGACAGATATTTTGTGGTGGAACACATTCGGCTAAAGCAATTCAGGGGTGTCACAGAAATCTCTTCCAAGCATATGTATCCCTAAAAGCCAATCTTGGTGTCCCAGACACCTATCCAGATGGTATTTAACCAACCATTTGATGGGCTTTGTTAACACTATAAACTATATGAAGCAGGAGCGATTATTGCGACAGCAAAGAAAAATGTGAATTTACAAATCATTAATTATTCGCCTATAACGATTTGAACTTTAATTAGAATACAAAAATTTGTTTAGCTAAAATGTTCTTTAGGGGCTAAAATAAAATCAATATCACATATATTTTCTGTTAAATAGAATTTAACAACCTCCTACTCCTTTCTAAGCAAACTCCATTAAATGGTAAATTATGTTTCACAAGAAACTTCGTTTTAATATTTGTTATGCCAATTACCTGTCATAAAACCATTTATAGTTGCCATTCCAAAATTGAAATATTGTTTAAATGCATTTCCATTTAAATGCATCTCAAATAGTTCCCCCATAAAAATAAATATCTTCAAAGCGAGCACGAGAAAAAAGAAAAACGATGTCATTAAATATGCAATAAATAAAATGAATTACCAAAGCATAAATAAAAAAGTCGCATTTTAATAAATCAGGCAGAAATAAAAACAAGTGCACCGCTCCACCGCTCCACCGCCGCCCGCAAAACCGCATCCACATTAATCAATCAGCCGAAAACGTCAAACGCTCCACAGCAACGCGCCGCGGACTGCGCGAATACCGCCTCATTAAAAATTAATGAAAATACCCCGGGTAAGCGGAGGAAAGCGGAGGAAAAGCGTATGAAAACAATGCGTTCGAAGGTGATCGAACCGACAGGTGTAAAGCGAGTGCGATAATTGCATCAGGTGTTATGGGGCAAGGAAACGAGCCAGGGAATTCATGTCAACGGGCGGGGAGCAGGTGGCAAAGGGCGTTTAGGGCATGACAAGGGCTTTCGCAGTGGTTTCGGCCATGTGCCTTTGGCATTTCCAGGCAAAACCAGTTCCGAAGTTTCCCGCGCCAGCCTTTTTTCGGCAGGGTCAATGCTGCCGCCGTAGAAAGCCATAAAAACAAAATTGTCATTGCCTCGAAGGAGTGAAAGAGACGGAGGCGCTTGCGCAATCGCCGGCTGGACAAGTTTTATGCTACACTTTAAGGATCGCAGCAGCAGCAGCATCAGCAACATCGGTTGCAGCAGCAGCAACATCGGCGACGAAAGCAACTTGCGACCCACGACGATGAAAAGAAAACGAAATGCTCAGTGCCCGACGGTTTCACTTTCATTCGCAACGCGCACGCGCAACTGGCAGGTCGCACGAAAAGAGCACCTGAAAATACCTACCCGACTTACCGCCAAAGTACGCTTTTGTGCCATCCGCAGCCCAGCGAATTACAATTGTTTTAATCGAATAGAAAAGTGATTATAAGTGCGCTTTAATTGGGCGGCAATCAATATAAATAATTGAGTGTTTTCAATTCATTTCGCTGCATCCCGAACCCACGGCACAATACCAATAAAAATCCCGTCGCGCAATACTTAATGGATGCAGGTAAATGCAAAAAGCGATTGGAATATTTTAAATGCCCATTTAACTGTGGAAATTATTATTTTCTCTGTGGGCGCAGAGCAAAAAACCATTTGAATGTGCAAATTGAGTTAGAAGCGGTTGAAATTGGTTCGTGATCCGGTGTTCAATAAATTCCCTCACACGGAGAAATTCAATGCTTTCCTGTGAGGCCACAAACCAAGTCCTGAATGCTAAATGGCAATCAAAAAGGACTTAGGCGAGCATGCATACGAAATGTCTCCCGTTTAATGGCCCAGTTCAGATCATTATCCATACCCAATTAAAGCCACAATTTCCCTACCGAAAGCTCCGCTTTCTTGTGTTGTTTGGCCAACAAGACAGGCAACAGGGGGACCGGCTCAAAGCGCCCCGGGCCACTTAGCCATGAATATTGCAGGTGAAATATGTTTTGGCATGCATATTTAATGCCTATCAAAATACAGGCAGCGGCAAACTATGTGAAAACCCGTACGAACCATTTTAAACGCCATCAATTTCAATTTTCCAAATTAAATGCGTGGTGCAGGCGGCGCTGAGGAGGGGGCTAATTAATAATTCATTACGTTGCCAGTAGCAATGACATAAGCCCCAAGCAAACGCAGCCCCAAGTTCAACAACTTGGCAGGAAAAGCGACAAACGTTTTAGGGAAAATCTCTGGCGAAAGAGAAAGAAAAGCGCCGAAGTGCCAAGGCAGCCACTTAGGAAAAGTCATCATCCAGCGACGTATCGGTTGAAATCAAACAGCCCGACAAGTGAGTGGCCATAGTAGTCAGGAGCGGAGTCGAGTGGCTCGGATGCGAGTGGAGTGCAGGGGAGGCCAGTGGATGGCCTTTGGAGTGGGCCCAAACAGGCTTGACGACTCCTCCATTTGTCGCTTGGAATTTGTCGTGGTCGCCGGGGTTATTCACACCACCACTCGCACACCGAAGCCCAGCTGAAGCTAACTCTTTCTGCTTTTGGCCATTTCCGTAATAGCTCCATGTGGCCCCACCGCCACCAACGACATCTGCTAACGGCGGCGGCCTCGCTCTGCTGTCTGTTGGCCATCATCGTCCAGCCGGCCCTCTCGGATGAGCCACCCCCGCCAGCACCCGCATCCCCCGCCCCCGATCTCCCCCAGAACTCCACGGAGGAGGCCACGCCAACTGAAGCCCTGAGTGACAGCAGCGAAAAGGAGGTGAGTCCGAGTTCAACGAAAGATTTTGACAGGCAATGAGCGTCGCTTTTGACAGCTTAATAAGCAGGCAGCCGGGCCACTCATCCGCGAGGTCATCGAAGGTCCCAGCTTGGACGGCGAACTGCAGGAGGACGCGGCTCTGGAAAGGGAAATCGAAGACAAGGGCTTGGAAAAGGAACCGGAGTTTGTCGGGTAAGTCAGAGATCAAAAGCGGCCTAAGAAGCCCTCTAGAAATATGAGGTTTATTGTACTTTTGAAAATTAAATATCTTTTATAATTTCCATTTGTAGAAGTATTAGTTTGGTATCATAAATCTTTAAAAATAGTTGCAAAAGATAGCAAAAATCCTGTAAGAAAACCACCTGTTTTAGTAAACCCTTCTCCCCTTTACCAGTGTTCCAGGCTTTCTGCCCACTGTGCTGCCTGCCAGGGCCTCCGACAGTCCCACCAACGGACATGGCTACATCCAATTTGAGATCAACGATGAGCTGCCCGTGGAGGTGGCTCGTCGCCAAAGGCCGATTGAGCAGACCGTAACTCGCTCGCGAACGGAGACTGTCAACGAGGTGCTGTCCAATCTGTTCCCCAAGGGATTCTCGGACATTTTCCGCTTGAGCGGAAACACAGAGCCATCCACCAGCGCACCCACTACCACCACAACCAACAAGGCGGTGGCTCGGCCCACGGTGGTGGATGTGGTCAGCACCACCGAGACGGTCACCACTGAAAGGCCAACGGAAGCCCCAGCCCCGAACGCCACCTACTACAGCTATCAAACGACCGTCACGAAGGAGTACCGCCGGGAACTGGGGCCAGGCCACACGGAGATCGTGGTGGAGCAGATCCGGGATCCTCAGTTCCGGGACGGCAGCAACCACATTTCGCGGGATGAGCTGCTGCGGATCAATCGCGCTGCTGTGGCGGCTCCGGTGCTGCCAAGCTTGCTGCTTCAGCCGGAGGGCGACGACAACGAGACCCTGGTGGCTGCAGAGAGTGCCCCCATTGTGATCCTGGGCGAGCACGAGGCTGAGCTGGAGGAGGGTCAGGAGATCAATGACAACCAGATCGCGGAGACCCGCCACGTGGGCAGGGAGGCCTACCAGCAGCGACTTCCGGCTCCAGCCCTCAATGGCATCGAGAGCTATGCCAACCAGAAGGGCCCTGCACAGGATCAGGAGATCAATGTTCACATCGTGCACGATGAGTCCTTGGGAAAACCACAGATGGGAAAGGGAAAGGTAGGATTGAAATCGGGATAACGCAGAATATTCCGGTATTAAATGCTTAATATTTTCAGGCGGCCAAGGAGCAGACCCAGGTGCAGCCGGCGCAGCACGCCTTGGATCACTTTCAGGCGCACAGTGAGCAGAGGTTCCAGCAGCATCATCAAAGTCACGAGGCCCCTTCGCGCCAGTTCCTCAAGAGCTTCAATCCCATTGTCTCGGGCAGTGGCGATGGACCGCTTCCGAAGGGTAGTTTCCACTACGAGGTGCAGAGTCCTCCGCAGCTGCCGAGCCCGCGACAGCCGAAGGAGGAAGACTACGCCGGACAGTTCGTGAGACCTGCTGCCCAGTTGGCCTACCAACAGGAGATCAGCCAGGTGAATCCACAGGTGCAGCATCAGCCGGAATCGCTGCACACCAAGGCCATTTCCTCGCCCTCGCCCTCGCCGGAGGTGCAGCAATACTCCGGCTACGGAGGTCCCACTCCAAACAGCCTGGTGTTTGTCACCTTGAATACCCCAAGTCCTCCTCAATCCTCACCTGCGCCTGCCCCTGCCGCGGCTCATGCGCCCCTGGAGCCAGGTGTCCAGATCACCGTCAATCATCCAGCGCCACACAACTACGTGGCCGAGGCAGCCGCAGAGCCCTCCCAGCACAACGTCCAGCATGCTCCGGCTCCAGCTCCCAAGAAATCCAGTCCGTACACCTTCGTGGAGGTGCAGAAGTCCGTCAACATCCACAACAAGCTGATCACAGAGAAGGATGGACGATTGGTGGAGCAGCACGAAACGATTTATCACCAGCCCTATCTGCATAACCAGTTGCCGCAGGCTGCTCCAGCTGACCCTCAGAAGAACTATGCATCCCTGGCTAAGAATCCCATCCACGTGGAGTACGACAGTTCGCCCCAAGAGGTGGCCATCTCACACGCAGCCATCCATTTGGACACTGATCATTCTGGCCACTCTGCTTCGGGTCCTATTCAACAAACTGTTCACCCGGGTCCTGTTTACACGACTGCTCATCAGGAGCATCCGGTGCAACACCATGAGAATCAAGTCCATCAGATCCATCAGGATCACCAGATCCTTCATGAGGGAGATAATGCACCTCAGTTTCATCACGATCATCAGGTGCTTCACGAGGGGGATCATGCACCTCAGTTTCATCAAGGTCATCACGAGGGGGATCATGCACCTCAGTTTCATCAAGATCATCACGAGGGGGATCATGCACCTCAGTTTCATCACGATCATCTGGAGCACCATGACCACCCCTCTCTACAACCTTATCACGTGGAGAAGGTTGTGGACCACGACCATCATGGGAAGCAAGTGGTGGAGAAGCACATACCCGTTCCCTACGCCGTGCCGCAACCCGTACCTGTTCCCGTTCACGTAGAGCACTACGTGGATCGGCCCTATCCTGTGGAAACCATTGTCGAGCACCCCGTTCCTTATCCCGTGGAAAGGGTGGTGGAGAAAATCGTGGAGAAGCACGTGCCCGTGGAGGTGGAGCGAATTGTGGAGAAGCCCGTGCATGTGGAGAAGATTGTGGAGAAGTTCGTGGACCGTCCGATGGCAATTCCGATTCACGTCCCCGTTGCAATTCACATGCCCATGCCACCAGGCCACTCCTCGCTGGCGTTTTCCCACCATGGCCATCCCAACTCCCTAACTCCCTGGTCCCATTCGGTGGCCCACATTCCGCCGAAGGTGCTGCAGAACTACTACACCAGAATGCTGAAGAAGTTGCTGCCCCAGTTCGCGGCCAAGGCCCCTGCCCCTCAGTCCCCGTCCCCCAAGGCGGTCAAGTTGAGCAAACCGGTGGCAGCACTCAAGCAACCGGTGAAGCCCGTGAGGGGCGAGGCGCCCAAGGTCGCCACCTTCAGCTTGGCGGACATGAAGTTCGACCTCCGACCTCCGCCGCCGCCGCAGGGTTCGCCCTGGCTACAGGGAGCCCGCTATATTTACAACACCCTGCCCGTCGACTTGGCCACCGCCGCTGCCTCGGCGCCCGCCCAAATGGTCAAGTCATACATTGGCCCGGTTCCAGCCACGACATCTGGCCACTCTGGCGACGGGGACGCTCCTCTGACCAGCGAGTTCGATGAGTTCCAGCGATGGCGCAACGGGCACTCCCTGAAACGCAGTCCCGATTTCGGACGCAACCTGCAGCTGGAGTACGGATTCAAGCCCCCTTTGGTGCCATCCATGGAAATCGACGACAAGGGCAATCCCCTCAAGCAGGCCGAGCAATCGGAGACGCAGTGACGAAGGTAATGATGCGAGGAGAGCGGAGGATAAAGCGTGCCAAAATATAAAGCTATAGTAATTATTGTATATTTATGTAACATATTTAAAATAATGCATTTAATAAAATAATATTCCATAAATGGTATTTTACATGAAACGCTGTGCTTCCTGCTCATAATCACCTTCTATGTAGACACATGTGGACCTATTTGAATCTGTAAGCATTGCGATTTGCAACCTTTTTCGTGACAGGTCCTTAAAGATCTCTACCCTAGTCCACGCAGCACTTTGCAAATTGCCGGCAATCCCCGAGAAAAGTGCACATGTGGCTGTCTGCGAGTAAATGCTCAACTCAAATAAATGCGGCCCTCATTTAGGGACAATATTAATTAAACAAATGACAGCTACAACCCTGGCATTAAGCCGGCGACGAGACTGTACCCAATTAGGGGCTAGGAGTCGTATAAAAATAAGGAATTTCCTTAAGTAACATTCATGCAAATGAAAAATGCGGCATTTGCGTGGAAGGGTTCTCTAAGGGAATCCCTTATCTGCCCTCGAGCAGGCACAACGCCCCTCCAATTCGGGGCACTCACGCCTCGCATAAGGGTGCCCAAGTGCAAAGATTTATATGACAGCTAATAAATTCACAACACATGTAGCGCCCAGCAGATATTAGGAGATACGAGTATTTTCGGTGACAAGCCAAGGCCTCGCACGTCTCGAGTTTTGAATGTTATTGAAGCGTGTTTTCGCAGGGCCAAAAAAACCAGCCTTGCAAATGTTTGCGCAGCCAGTCGAAAATCACGTTCTGCGAACTGCGAGGCTGCAGCTGACATTTGACATTTGGAAGGCTTTCGGGCGGGAAATAATAGGGCGGGGCGTGCCGACAAACAGTTTAGCACACGTGTCGAACGGAAACGGAAGCCAAGACTCGGCAAACAATCGGAAACTTCGAGGAGCCAAAAGATAAAAAGGAGTTGAACAGAGGTGAAGGATTGGCTTTCACTTCTAGCAATGATTCTGTTTTAGTTTTATAATGTTGAACCACTTTTGGAGTAAATAACATTTTAAAACATTAAAGGAGTAAAGCAATGTTGGAGGAAGCCGTGAATCGCCAAAACTTTTTTTCTAAATTTTTACACATTTTTACACACTTGCCAACTTCTCTATGCCATGGTTATTCCTCCTTTTAGTAATGGTACACCTTACGTAACAATTTATTTAAGTAATTTTCCATCGAAGTCACTTAAAACGCATTACCGATATGTTAATTTATGCAGCAAATTATTATCCGAATAAGTTTGTAAGCTCCTTCGTGCCATAAATCATTAGTAAAGTAAGTGAATTCAGCAAAATTATTAAATGGAAGTTAGTCAACAGCCCGGCGAACTCTCTTTAAACTCCGCCCATTTTTGCACTGTCTGCGGTGAATTCAGGCCAACTTTAGCCAAATTCAGTATCGTAAATCAAAAATTGTTCATGCCACGCCCCCAGATATCAAAAATCAATTGCGATTGCAATTGCAAATGCATTCGGCACTTTGATAGACTCCCCGCCGGGGGGTCAGAAGCGGAGCCAGCCAACAAGAAAGATAAGCATGGGAACAATTGAATAATTTATATGCAAATAAATAAAAGTACTTTCGGCACAAAGAGCTTTGGCAGAAAGCGAGCAAAAAGCGTGTGAAATATATTCTCCGTTCTGGCCACAAAAGGCGTGACACACGCTACAACGGCCGTGTTCCAGGAGTTGGCTTTTTTGGCGGCCTTCGAAGGCCCCACCTATAGGACCACCCACCCTGCACCACCCCCATCCGCCACCCTTCTGCGCCGAAAAGCTGTCGGCCTTTTCTGGTTTGGCTGAACGCTCGCTGCATGTCATTGTCAGGGGCTGCCAACTCTGCATTTGATATACGATGTGTTGGCAAGCCGCCCAAGTTGGCGGCGGACCGCGGGCAGGGGGCGTGGCACTGCGACACAAATGCAGCTGAACCGAAAATTGCATTTCCGCTTTGGAAATTGCGCAAACTTCCGCAGCGAGCGGGGAAACCCGAATCCGAGGCCCGAGAAAAAAACAGGCAAACGTCGCCAGACAATTGGCAAAAATTTTCTATAAAAGTGTGAAATAGGCCGTCACCCCTTGGCCCCCGAAAGGCTGGGAGGACTGGTGGTGCAGATGAGGCTGACATGCCGTAAAGTGGCCCCACTGAACCACAGAAAACTTGTCACACAAAAATGAACGCAAAAATGTCAAAAGCACACAAAGATAAGTCGAGATGGAGGTGGAAAATGCGGGAAACTCCGGCAGAAGTGGGGGAAAATGCCATAAGAACGAATGAATGACTTTGGAATTGCACGGAGAAGTGCATGCGAATCCCCAAATATAAACGAGTCGAACTCTGTCCCCTTTCTAATAGTGGTTCCATAGCCTCTTTTCCATGCTTAAAAAATGTCCATAACCTCCGGGTAATTTCAGAACCCAGGCTATAAGTGCAGCTTTCAGTTGACAAGGGTTAGTTTCCATGTCGCTTAACCCGCTAATGGGCGGCCATACCTGCGGTTGGCAAATCGATCCCCTTAAAAACCGCAAAGAGGTAAAGGTAAGGACTAGCAAATATTTGCGCCCCCACTTCGTCTAGACTGGGATTTCAAACTGCCTTTGGCAGGCCAACAGAAAAATAAATTCTAACACTTACCAGGCGACAACCGCAAACAAACAGGAAACCAGCTGAAATTCTATTCAATCAGAAAAGAAACAAGTCGTCTGCACGTACTTGCAAGGCAAACAGTCATAACTTTGGTGCATTTGGAATACTGTGCAGGGGATATCTATAGTCTGGAGGACAGTGTGAATATATGGGGGTCCGAAACAATGGCTAAATTACGAAATCAAATAAAACGAATATAACGAACAGAGGTCTTTTTACAGAGCTGTTAACGAATGATTGGCCCAAAAGTATTCCACACCAAAAAGCAAATCGGTTTTTGCGCATGTAAAAACCTAGTAAAATTACATTTCTGTTTACAAAATGGGTGAAGCGATTTGTTTATTGTGCCTAGAGCATTGTCAAAAAAAACATTTCATATAAGTGGACTTTGGGATTAAAAATTTCACATTCTATCTAAACCAGTTACCTTCGCGATATTAATAAACACAAACAACTAATAACGAAGCATTCTAATGCTTCCCCCATCTTATTATCGTTGCCTTTTCCACCCTAATCCTTTGTTGAAGTAGATACAACACATCCTCGAGATATTAAAAGGGAGAAGATTTCATTCCGACCCAGCTCACAACTCGGCAACAATAAGAATACGCAATCAATGGCTCCCCATTGCAATGAGGAAGTAAAAACTAATCAAAAACCTCAATTGCAATGCTGAAATAAATGCAGAAGCAAAATATTGGCAAGTCTGTGGGAGAAAGCTCAGGAGCAGCAGACCTTATTGTATCCACAGCAACAACAATAATTAGAGCAAGTTGTGCAGGTTTTTAAGGAAGTAGAAGCACCAAACACCCTTGCAATGTGATGGTTTCCCGTGTGAAAAAAAAAATAAAACTTAAATTTCAAAATTGCTTATCATGGTGTATGGTCACCTTAAAGCACTTAGAACCTTGTGAGTTTATTGGCTAAAACGCTGTCCATGAATAATTTCTTTAGGGTATAATAAGAAGCCATAGGCAAATAAACTGGCCACTGACAATATTAGTTGCAGACGACCGACATCCCGCTGCGTCGGAGGAAAGGAGTCTGATTTTGATAATAATAATAATCATAGCTCAGATGAAAACTATCCACGTCCGAGTTGTGATCCTGGCCGGGACGATGCTGAAATTATTATAGGCAGCCAACGCAAAGCTGGCCAAGGAATTTCAATCAGTGGCGAAGACGACGGCAGCAACTTTGTGATTGCATAACTGCGTTGCGGCCGAGAGAAGTGGTTCCTGGCTTCTTGGCTCTCAGCAGGAGATTCTCCACACAGGTTTTCCGGCTTTCCGGTTTTCCTGCAATTTTCTGTCAAAAACAACGGCCGGCAACAACAAACTCCGACCGGAACTTTTTGCTGGGCCACAAAGTCACCGGAGCCGCCGAACCCACACCTTTCGGGTGGTGGTGGACCACACTTTTAGCATGCGTGCGGTCAGCAGGTCGAGGATCGGGGGTATTAGTTTGCGGGCACTCGGGGCTGGAAACTGCAGACTGTAAACTGCAAACTGCAAACTGCAAACTGCGAACTGGCAACTGGAACTGCTGTCGTATATTGGCAAAGTTTTCGTGTTCGACGGAGGCTAAGGGGGTTAAGTCCAAGTGTTTATTTTGTACCATAAGAGTGGAGTGCTTGTTTGCTTGTGGCAAATTATTTAGATTGCGAAATCTCGGCTAAAGATTCTATACATAGAGAAGAAGTATTGACTGGTGATGGTTACCCCCCAAGATGCCAGCAAACAGTGGTGCCAACAGGCAAGTTAATAAGCAGGTCAAGGGATAACAAAAGAACAACAAATTTGGAAAAACATAATCTTCTTCGACTTAATCAGACTAACATTCCTAGCAAAAACACTCGTACAAAAAAACTAATAAATTAACTATGTTGAGTAAATATTTTATTGCTTACATTTGAAAAACTTCATTGCATTAAAAAGCTTGTATTAAACTCTCATTTTGTTAAGTAAACCCGATCTTTCCTAAAAAGTACAAGCTGGCAGCACTGTCACTAATTCACTTTACGACTTCCCAGAGACACAAATCCTAACTTAATTTCCCCAAACTCCCCAACTTCTTCGGATGGCATTATCTGGATTCTCATTACCGGAATAATCTTCTTTGTGCGGCGAAAACCCCAAACGACTCACGCAATAGTTAAGTATTTAACGACCCTTCTCAAGTCGGGTGTGTCAAGTGCAGTTCTCCCCTAATCCCGCCAAGAACTCCGCTCCGAGCCAGCAATTGCTTTAAACTGTTTACACTTTACGTCGCCAAACAGCTTTGGTGCAAAGGAAAAGCTCGGCTTTACTTCAGCAAAGCAATTTTCAGGAAAAATCATTTAAATTTCCACCCAAACCCCATGTGACTGCGCGCCATTTTGACACTTAATTATTTCAATTGA